GGGGAATCACCACCATGTAGCCACAGGGAGAGATGAGATTGCGCAGGAAATCACTCCAGAGTCATCCTTTTAAACAACATACATTGTGTTCATTACCATGAGTCAGGCACCGTGCCAAGCTCTTTACAGCTACTAACCCATTTACTCTTCCTTACAACCCTGTAAGGATACTTTATCGTTACAGGAAGTTCCGAGAGCGTATTCATAAGTCCAATTTGTTTAAGTCTGACAAAGTTAGCCTAAATGGTTCAGAGACCCATTAATGTCCCTCCATGTTGCCACAGTCCCTAGAGAAGGGCATGGCAGGGATTCAAGCACTCTGTATATTCCTGAGCAGATTACTGAGAATCCCCTAGTCTTCTATGCACTCCCAGTATCTATCGGGGATCCTTGACTTCCCTATTGTCTATGAGCAAAGATGTAAATCCCATTTGTCTTAGACCTTGTAAATTTCCGTTACTCTAAATGTCACTATCTAAATGTAAAATGCAGCTGCAACTTAAGTTCTATGCAAAGCTCTGCTGGTCACATGGCTAATGTACAGGTATCTGCAACTCTGGACTATAAAAGTGAACTGTAAAAGCTTGGAGGGTGAGCAGAACTATTTTAGAAAGAACTCTGCTGCCTGGCTTCAAACTCAGAAATAAACTTCTTTCTACCAGTTCCCTGCCCCTTTGGTTTATTGATATCAAGGGGAGCAGCCAAGCGTTACTCGGATCATAACATAAGTACTCAACTAACACAATCAGCTAAAGTACTGTACAATAATAGGCTCATAATACTTTAAACAGAAATAATATTTTTTAAAAATACAGCCTTTGGGAGGCAGAGGTGAGTGGATTGCCTGAACCGGCGGGTTCAAGACCCGCCTGGGCAGTGAGATCTCATCTCTACAATAAATAAAAAAATCAGCCGGGCGTGGTAGCGCGCGCCTGTAATTCCAGCTACTCGGAAGGCTGAGGCGGAAGGATCACCGGAGCCCAGCAGGCGAGGCTGTGGTGGCCGGGAGCGGCCACTGCACTCCAGTCTGGGCGACTGAGTGAGACTCCAACTCAAAAAAAAAAAAAAAAAATACAGTCCTGCACAGTAATGTACATCAAAACACAACCACTTGTAGAGGATGTACCCACTGACAATGGACGCCAGACATATGAATTCACTTATGTGACTGGACATGGGAACGCCCATTGGCATCTTTGAAAGTTCACCACTTGAAGGTTCATATGTAGGGGACTTACTGTATCCCCATTTGAATGTTGTAGACACTGAGGCACAGAGATTTTTTATTTTTTGAACTGGAGTCTCACTCTATCACCCAGACTGGAATGTCATAGCACACTCGCGGCCACCACAGCCTCGACCTGCTGGACTCAGGCAATCCTTCTGTTTCATCCTTCCAAGTAGCTGGAACTACAGGCATGCGCCACCATACCCTAATAATTTTTTTAATTTATTGCAGAGGTGAGGTCTCACCATGTTGCCCAGGTTGTTCTTGAACCCATGGGCTCAAGCAATCCTCTCACCTCAGGCTCCCAAAGTGTTGGGATGACAGTTGTGAGCCACCACTCCCAGAGGGTTAATTCATAAAGACACACGTGTACTGTGAAGTCACACATCCCAAACATTCTGATCACTGTATTTCAACGTCTCTGTTTTTCCCTTGTTATCCTATGTATTTTGTTCTATGCATTAAACTATTATTCTGAGGAGGAGTCCATGGCTTGAGAAGAAGTGAAAAACCTCAAGCTCATGTCAGTATCAAGCATGAGGGAGCAACCCATGTCCAGCTTGATAGGGGAATGTGGTGGGCACTTATAGGGACTGGTTATGTTGGCACCTAACCTGGCGTTCAATCAACTATAGAACCACAGATGTTTCACAGTGACCATGGCAAGGGTAGGTGAGGCCACATCCCAGCTCACACCGTGGACAATGAAGCCATGTTGGAAGCTGACTGCAGCACCTTCCTGCAGTTGTCAGAGGAGCAGAGCCAAGGTCCCAGGGCTGGCTGCCACTTCTTCCTACAGGGGTTTTGCTGAAAGTGATCCAGCTACCCTCAGGTCAGCATCTCCCCTCTCCTCCCCATATTGGGCTGCTCTGTGGCAGGATGAATTGTGGCCACAGCTAAGCTTTGCCTGAAATTTGGAAACAAAGTGCTCTGAATGCTGTCTCCCTGCTATCTGGCCCTCCTGACAGCACCATGGGGCAAAATGGAGAAATTCAATGCAAAGCCACCACGTCTAAAAAAATCAGCGAGAGACACCAGCACAGATACCGGGGCCACTCAGACTAGCTTTTGTCCCACAGCACACTGTCCCCACATCACTAAATGAGGGTCTCAATGAGCTTTACCTCAGAGGAGTGTTAGAGGGATTCCATAAGTGAGTAGCTATATCCACTTTGAACCGTGCTTGGCATCTGGCAAACACAACATGCATGACTAAATAAAGACAAATTTATCCTGCTTTTCCCTGAAAAAGAAGGCAGTTTTTCTTTTTTGAGAAACTTGCCCATAGCATGTCTTTCTGCCATGAATTTTCCTTTTTCATTCTCTTCGCTAATAAAATCTGTTTTAAAACTAAAAAAAGAAAAGAAAAGGTCTTTCTGAGCACGGTTGCTCACGCCCATAATCCCAGCACTTTGGGAGACAGAGGTGAGAGGATTGCTTGAGCTGAGGGATTCAAGACCAGCTCGGACAATTTGGTGAGACTTCATCTCTACAATAAATAAATAAATAAATAAATAAAAATAATAAAAAGAAAAAACCAAGTAGAATGCATCTGAAAATTCATACATTTAATGGTCACCAACATAGCATTCAAGAACAAGTAAGGTCGGGCATGGTGGCTCACACTTGTAATCCCTGCACTTTGGGAGGTGGAGGCAAAAGGACTGCCTGAGCCCATGAGTTCAAAACCAGCCTGGGCAACATGGCAAGACCTCATCTCTACACTAAATCAAAAAAATTAGCCAGTCGTGGGGGTACATGCCTGTAGTTCCAGCTACTTGGAAGGCAGAGGCAGAAGGATTGCCTGAGCCTAGCAGGTGGAGGCTGTGGTGGCCATAAGCGTGCCACTGTACTCCAACATGAGCGATAGAGTAGGATTCCTACTTTAAAAAAAAAAAGAACAAGTGACATTCATCTAAATATATACATTTATAAACTTATTGTGGGCCGGGCGTGGTGGTTTATGCCTATAATCTCAGCACTTTGGGAGGCAGAGGTGAGAGGATTGCCGGAGCCCAGGGATTTGAGACCAACCTAGGCAACATAGGGAGACCTCATCTCTACAATAAGTAAAAAAATTAACCTGGTGTGGTGGTGCATGCCTGTAGTTCCAGCTACTTGGAAGGCTGAGGCAGAAGAATCGCCTGAGCCCAGCAGGTCAAGGCTGCGGTGGCCGTGAGTATGCCACCACACTCTAGCCTGGGCAACAGAGTGAGACTCCAACTCAGAAAAAGAATAAACTTATTGTGGAATGTACAGTCACGCTTAAATGTGAAAAGGAATAGATTGAAAGAGCTATTAAAGATTCAACTTTCACAGTCTAATGCCTGCTGAAGTCAGAGGACAAGGTATTGCTGGCCCCTGACTTGTTCGAAGACTCCTTCTACTTCCTAATGTCCCTGTGACTTACAGGCAGTGGAGGGGCACCTGAGTCTGGGTTTTGAGTGTCTATCATCTGTAGAGCGTGAGCTGTGTCTCCCTGGGCTGAGTTTCCCAGATGTGGAGAAATCAGTGCCACTAACACTTTCCTTCATTACCCTGTCATCATGAGCCTGGACTCCCAATGACACTTTAGCTCAGCAATGCAAAAGTTCCACGATGTTTTGAACTGTGACTATGAGGCAGGTCACTACCTGAAACTCACTGTGCGTGTGTTGTCTGGTTTATTAGGGGATAGGGAATGAACAAATTGCAACCTTTCATGGCAAGATCAAGAGGACTATAGTATGAGTGCATGGAGCACAAGGGCCATCTGTCTACCACGGCACTTTGTAGCTAAGGAAACAGCCAGCACAGAGACTTTGCACAGCCAAGAAACAATGGTACCAAAGCACCACCTTCCAGCTGCAAAGTGCCGCCCCTCAGTACGTGGCAGGGAACAAGTTGAGCTGGTTTGAAACCTGCCCAGACAACCAGAATCACCCAGCTTGCCTACCTGTTGCATGACTTGCAAGTAAAACCCACACCGTCAATCTTAGCCTCGCATGGCTCTGGGCAGCCTCAGCCCACTTTCAGGGTGGAGGGAGCTGATAATGCATCTGGCCCCTAAGGCACCAAGTGTCCATGCCTTTTTGCAGTTATTAAATTATGTTATCTTGGTTAACAATGAATTACAGCATCAGAGATCTGGAAGAGGTCACTTCCAGCCTCCCTCCACTGTCCTGGCCTCTTCACGTTCATTCTCCAGATCTGGCCTGGCCCTTGCTGCCCGTTCAGACCCCATGCCATATGTGCTCGGGTTCCTGCACAACCAGCACTGCTTATTATCTCCCCTTTCTTAACCAGGTCCAACCACATCCCGTTTCCAGGACACGGGATCACGTTTCAGGTTCACGGCTATGACAGCCGGGGTGTTTTCTGACCTGAGAATGCAAAATGAGTCCATCCTCTTTAGCTGCTCTCTTTAAACCTTCTGGAGACTCACACGGCTACACTGAATTCTACTTTGCGCACGGAGGATCCTGCTGCGTTATTGTTTCCATCATTGGGAGGAGGTGGATATGGCACAGACAATTTTAGGTTTCCGGGTTCTGGTGCCAGGAGGAATTGAGAGAGCATGAAGTTCAAGTGCCTTCAAAGGGATTAAAACAAACAAGCAGACAACGCGCTCCTAGACCACTCCCACCTCCTACAGAGAATTCTGTCTGGCGCTGCCACCGCCACACTCCCAGTCCCCAAACTCCTGAGCACTGGCTGCAAGTCAACCCTTGTCACTGCGGGTGGTCACCCAGTCCTTCTCTCGCACCCATCACCCCATCGTGTCTTTGGTCACCTGTGGGTTTCAGCGGGTTCCAGGCCATTTTCCAGGCTGACATCTGTCCGTACCATCTCCTGTTTCAGTTCTCCGATCTCCGAGGCGATTGTGTCAATGAGCTATTCAAAGACAAAAATAGTGTGACGTCAGGAAGTGGGAGGCGTGGCATGACACAGCCCTGGGGAGTGCAGCCTCTTCAATAGGGACAGAGAAGACCATCTTTTAAAAAAAAAAATCTTGGCTCTGTGAATTTCCTCTAACCAGAGGAAAAAATAATGGGGGTGGGGACAGCTTCTCCTTAGAAAGGGGAAGAACTTAGGTTTCGGTATCGGAATCAGGAAAATAATATGACGCTCAGTGTGTAACAAGGCAAAGAATGTAACACTCAGTTTGCTTTCTCAACGTGAATAAAGAAAAGAATTAGTAAGTCCTGGTAAAACTAGGCATTCACATTTATCTTGTCAAGGGAAACACTCAAAAGGAATTCCCTGCATTAAAATCCATTGATCATGATTTTTGTTTTTTTTTGTTTGAGTTGGCGTCTCACTCTGTCACCTAGGCTGGAGTGCGGTAACATGCTCACGGCCACTGCTGCCTCGACCTAATGGACTCAGATGATCCTTCCGCCTCAGCCTTCCAAGTAGCTGGAACTACAGGCACGCACCATCACACCCAGTTAATTTTTTGATTTATTATAGAGATGAGGTCTCACCAAGTTGTCCAGGTTAGTCTCGAACCTGGGCTGAGGCAATCCTCTCACCTTGGTCTCCCAAAGTGCTGCTGGGATTATAGGCGTGAGCCACTGTGCTCAGCCTGATCATGATTTTGATTATAGAAATAAGCTTATTGCTGGGCGCAGTGGTTCACATCTGTAATCCCAGCACTTTGGGAGGCAAAGGTGAGAGGATTGCCCAAGTCCACAGGTTCAAGACCAGCATGGCAACATGGTGCAACCTTGTCTCTCAGAAAATTATGGAAAAGAGTGGTGGCTCACACCTATAATCCCAGCACTTTGGGAGGTGGAGGCAAGAAGATTATCTGAGTCCATGGGTTCAAGACCAACCTGGGCAACATGATGAGACCATGTCTCTACAGTAAATTAAAAAGAAAATTAGCTGGACATGGTAGTGCGTGCCTGTAGTTCCAGCTACTTGGAAGTCTGAGGTGGAAGGATCATCTGAGCCCAGCAGGTTGAGGCTACGGTGGCCATGGGCATGTCACTGTACTCCAGTCTGAGAGACAGAGTGAGATTCCAACCCCCACCAAAAAAAAGAGAGAAAGAAGGGGACAACTTAGGAACAATTCAACACAGAAATTGATCTAACTTGATGGGGTGACTGTGAGCATGGCAGGAAGACTCAAGCATGATCCCCAAGTTTTTGGTTTCAGCAACTGATAAACGACAATGTCCTTCCCTGACATGGGAACATAAGGTGGACGTGGGGAAATCAAGCTGAACTTTGGTCAGGTTAAACTTTAATTCAGCCAAGCGTGGGGGCTCATGCCTGTAAAAATTATTTGAACATGGTGGCACACACTTTTGGTTCCAGCTACTTGGAAGGCAGAGGCAGAAAGATCGCTTGAGCCCAGCAGGTCAAGGCTGTGGTGTCTGTAAGTCGACTAATTTTTTGGTTTATTGTAGAGACGAAGTCTCGCCGTGTTTCCCAGGCTGGTCCCAAAACCATGGGCTCAGGCAGTCCTCTCACCTCTGTCTCCCGAAGTGCTGGGATTACAGGTGTGAGCTACCATACCAGGTCTTATAGTTTTAATTTTTTTTTTGAGTTAGAGTCTCACTCTGTCACCCAGACTGGAGTGCAGTGGCCACTCC